ACTGGACACTCTTACTTCTTTCCTTATTACCACCCACAAAGAATGTTTCACTTGGAAAACTGCAGTTTGACAGGTTTCTAAACCTGAATTTCAGAAATTGTTAAAACCACTATGAGTATTTATCAGAAAGTCCAAGCAGACCATCACACTAATGTGCAACATGAAAATGAACTGAAGGCTTCATTGTCCCGTAGTTTATAACACGGGGACAACATGCTTCATGACATTATTACACCCCCTGCAGTATTTTCTTCTTCAAACTCCCTCGTTTTCCCAGAAATTTGTTCTCTAGAACAATTAAAGATCCTAAATTATGCCAGTAATTAGAAGGAACAGCAGAACAGTACCTACAATAACTGTTAAACTTCAGTGGGATGGTATTTTGTCACATAAAATAATCTTCAGGTGATCTACTCTGAGAATTAGTTGCCTTATATGTGTGGGAATTGGAGACAATACTAGCTTAATTTTTATTTCCACCACAGTGCAGTAGCTTAAGTGTATATTTGCATGCTTGTATTTATGTGTGTATTTTCCATTTTACCATCATACTTTTCAAAATTTAATTACACCATTCGACTCTGTTCAAAGTAAGTGGTGATAATTTTCATGTAAAGTTACAGGGAAGTCATATGAAAAGACAACAAAGGAATGCAAATCAAGAACCGGTTTCCTAAGTTTGTGTTAGAAATCCTGAAGAACCGTAGTCTGGTAACAGGTGATCTCTTAGTGGTCCCTGTCTTACAGACTTGCTTCTCTCTAAATAATGAGAGTAAAAGGACATGCTGCTTCTTCCCAAAATAATTATCTTAATGAATACGACAAAAATTAGAAATACTCGAGTCCTACTGTTCAGGAGCACCCAATATACCACCTTTACTTTGGTACATGTAAGTTCCTTTCAAAAGATAAACCCTACATACAGCTGTTCTGGGAAGGTCACAAAGTTGTATGAGGTCTACCCCTTTAAACAGACCAGCTCTCTTCAGTAGAGATTTAAACACCAGTAACTATTTTTAGGTATGATATAAAAGAAAATCTTGGCAGGCATTTGCCATTCATTGTATTTAGTTATTTTATTTTCACTATCCAAACTCAAAAGAAAAGCACAGTTAAGTTTCAGGTATCAATACAGTTTTCTAAAAAACCCTTTCATGATCTCTTCCATAAACCATGTGCTCAAACGTTTGCAGCTCAACCATAAGTAGCAGGTTTCTTCTTTCCCTGCACCCTCCTCCCTAAAGGGACTTCTCCTACTTTAATATAAAGTATTGTAAATGTCTTAATCAAAAAGCAAAATTCAGAAAAACACTTCTTAGTCAAACATCTTTTCAGAATTGCTGTCTGGCATGGCACAATCTTAAGCAGTTTCTTTTGGTATAGTAATTCTCGTAGTTTTCACTCGGTTTAGGTCTCTGTGAGCATTTTATATTTAAGGTAGACAATATACAATTTAGAATACATTAGCACATATTTTTCATGATATGGCATTTCCAGTAGACATCAGTTTTTCATAATTCACTGTGCATCTCCCATTCCAGAAAGCTTCTTCAGTGTTGAACACTGGCCTTTTTCCATCATTCTCTTGTTCTTCTATGCTTCTACTTTTGCTCTCAGAACTCTTATCCTCCAGGTGCCTGTGATCACACATTCCTTAGAACCTTGCCTTCTTCACACGAGTTTCATTTCTTGATACTTTGTGCAGCACCACTTCTTCCCATACATTTCAAGGCAGCTGGTCAATACCTCAACTAAACGCAACAACGAAAAACTTAATTTCGGAGGGGGGCAGGGGGGAGAAGGCAGGAGGAGGGAAAGCCTGTGTTTTCATAGTTACATTCATCTGTATGTTTAGTAACAATTATCTCAACTGGAAGCTTTTAATCAATACTAGGACTTGACAACAAGAATGTGGGATTATTTTCCTGAAAATTCAATCTTCTGCTGGTTTATCACGTGACAGTTGTAAGGTTGTACAATCTATTTTAAAACACATTTTGAAGCTTCACATATTTATACTGATAGAGAACAAACAAATGTTATACTAAACAATACTTGTTTGCAGATATTCTGTAAAATATACAATAAGATAATAGAGGATATATTGTGCCCTTAGAGAAAAATTCTTTCACTTTAAATACAAGTGCGAAGCAGTAGTTTGTATTTTAATTCTACATCATAGCAGCAGCCAGGTATGCATAAACCAGCACTTTTTCTACCAAAAAAAAAAAAAATCACAGCATTCTAAGGAGCATGATTACACTCAAGTACGGCAAATGCAACGCCAGCTGAAGAAAGTATCTAAAACAAAGAACTGAGTCTGTTAATACAAAGACTAACTAAAGATACGGCACTATTCAATGCTACTGTAGATCTGAGAGCTTTCAAAACACAGTGCTTTTTGGTGGTGTGGGGTGGTATTTTTTTGGGGGGGGTTTTTTTGGTTTGTTTGGTTTTCTTTTCCAAGGGTTACTACAATTTGCAATAGCAAATTCAGCGAAATCACTGCATTTACATCTCCAAGAGTTTTTGAGAACACCATTTGGTCTCCTCCAGGACCTAAAATTGACCCTGCAGATGATCACACATCCCCCAGAGTCCTAAGTACTACTTGGTCCTATTCACCCAGCTAAGAATACTAATCCCAAATGATCAAGCCGTTTGCATGGACAGGCTTGTAACAAAAGACTGTATGTTCCTGACCAACAGCACAAAATTATACTGCAGTGTGAAGATATGTCTGTCTCTAAAAATTATGAAGTATTAAAGTAAAAAAAAAAATAAAATCCACATGACACTTTAAAATGATCCTTGAGTTCAACACTATATGCAATCAAATAAACTATGTAATCAGTCATACTGCAGTAGAACAACAACAAGACTTTTTATTCACTTGAAAAATAGCAGACTGGAAGATTTCTTCATTGGATTACATGAGCTTCCCTGAGATTTTTACATAAATTATATTTAGCCTACTATATACTGGAAACCAGTTAGCTACTGAATGTCATACACTGCAAATTTTACATAATTCCTGCATATGTTATCCAGCTAAAATGCTGTTTCAATGCTTTAAAGCTTTATCTTCTTTTGTTACAAAAAACACGTACATACAACTGAGACTACAAATGCAAAGACATTTTTTGCACAAAATTTAAAATCCTCAAAGCAATATATAGAAATGGAGAAGACAGATGTTACACTGAAAAGCACTTCAAAGTTCTTTGCAGCTTAAAAACTGATCATGAAGTTAGTTTTTAAAATTACCTATGCAAGTGCTTGGTGGCAAGAAAATGAACAGAAATATTGTTAAATGAATTGGCAGCATTCCCTATTTAGCAATCTTCCATATTATAAAATACTAATTTTGTATGAGTAATTGTGGGAGAGAAACATCACAGTGGTACAAAACATTGCTATACTGGCACTACGTTACACTAAGTACGGATTTTTTATTTTTTTTTATTTTTTTTAAAGATGAGGTACTTAAACTTCTGACAAGATGGATGTAGTTAACCACACATCTAAAGGAGGACCCACAGTGAAAATAACTCTGTTTCACTGACTCAACTGCCACAAATTTTAAAAATGAACACTTAATTTTTAAATACAAATCTAGGTATCAGGTCAGTTTGCTAAGTTGCATATCCCCTTAATTGAACTTCTTCCAGCAAAAGTCCACGAAAAACAAGCATTGTACTTTGCAAACAATAATGCTTATGTAAAACCAACAACAACAACACCGAGATTACTTGAATTAAAAATAAACAAAACCTGCAACTTCACTGCTTTGAGATATGAGATTATCCCCAAGTTTTATGCCTGGAGGCAAAACCAAACAGTTGTCCATAAATTTTTGTTAGACTTATTCCAAAAGCTGAATTATACAGCGTAAGTAATCTGCTCAAGGTAGCTCTGATCTCCTTCCAGTTCTCAACTGGGTTCATGTCCTTGCCTTCTGCCAAGTGTGAAGAAATTGCACTTTTAATTCTTCCTTTCAAATACTCTTTTGTTGGGTATTACCATAGAAAGGAAAAAGGAGGTGACTTGGGCCACTTCATTACAAAACAGACTTGATGCGGTTGTGACTCGCTGTTCAGATACTGAGCCATAAGCATTCTGGTTTTTTGTACTGGAGGGAAGGTGTAAGGTGATCATCTAACAGCAAGTGAGGAATTGTGAAATTGAAGGCATTTTCTAGATTTTTCATTCTGCTGTAAAAAAGGTCCCAATTTATAGATACATTTACAACTGCATGAAAATTACACGGATGGGAAAAATAAAAAAGCAGCATTTAAAAGCAGTATGTTTAGCTTTTTCATATTCAGAAACAAACTGAAGATACTGCCTTGTATAAAAGGGCTTCGTTGCTACTTGTCATCACTGTATGCTCAATTTTATAAAGGGAACCTAATACTCAAGCAAGGAAAAGAAGAAAAATTGGATGTTTGTTTTTAAATTTTAAATTAAAATTTTCACATGGGTGAGTAGGATTTCTGGCTCTCCAAATTAAGAACAATTTGTTCCCTTCCCCTCAAAATACTTACAGTACATCACACAGCCTAGGGTATCTCTTTGCATGCATCGCTGGCTGATAACTGATTCAGACAGGCACATTAAAAGTTTGTGGGTTATACAACCACTTCTGTTTGGTTATACAGAGAAGCCATTTCTGCATGAACAATGAAAAAAATGGTAAAACTGTATTAACAAACACAAGCCGTTGTGCAACACACAAAACAGAGTGCCAAGACACTATACATTCAGTCTGAAAAGACTTTTCTAGTAGTCTTTTCTGTACATCTCCATTTCAACAAGGAAATACACTGGCTTTTCACCTCTTAATCTCGCCATATGTTAAGTCACCTCTTTTTTGCATTGCCAAGTAAGGCAAATAATGGTACTTTAGACTCACCATATATTAGATTCTTTTACCTAGAAAAATAATTTTTCTCCTCCCTATTGAGAATTTCAACATGTTCTCATAGTAACAAATACATCCTGATAAAGAAAACCAGCAGGATTCCTCATTATGCAGATTAAGATAGGAACTTTGCCACACAGATTTTACATTCAGCTAAGACGAGATACACATGTCATGCATATGTCAATTATACACAGCAGACCAAGTATGTTTTGTTCTGCATTCCAACACATTGTTTGAAGGAGGGACAGTCTTCTCATCCACCCATGTTGTCCCTTATGTGATCCACTCGCTGAGCAAGATCCCTAAAGCTGGGGCGCTGGGTAACATTGTTGTTCCAGCATTCTTTCATGATGGCATAAATCTGGAGAAGAAACAAAGAAAATCAGTAGTAGGTAAACAGAGGCTACAAATAGTTGTTACTTTGACCTGGTCCAAAGACCATCCAACTTAACTTTATGCTTCCAAGCAACAGTGTGGCGGAAGACTGTGCCTGAAGTCTTGCTATATCTCTCAGTTTACCTGCTTGATCCCAATGACAGCAAGAAGTGAGGATAGCTAGCTCTGCAAAAACCTTTATTATAAAAGCAGATTTTTTTAAGAAGATAGTATGGAAATTCACTCAGATAAATATCTTAAAAATTTCAAAATCTATTATTTTGCTGAGTTTTTATCTTCTTGGTTGCTTTTATTTTTTGGAAAGCTCAAGAATGTTTAAAACTACAAATGCTTTCCAAGTCTGACCAAAAATCAGATTTACAAAGACAGCAATTCTAAGTTAAGCTTCCCCTGCAACATTAACATACACTTCTCTGCATCGGGATATTAAATTCTCAATTACTCTTCATGTATAATTCGAAATAAACCAGAAAAGTTCTCATATTTCCAGCAACTTTTTACATGTTGCTTAAAAGCCATCTGCACAGCTCATAGCAAAAAAATGGTAGTATTAGTTCCTTTTTTTTTTATCCCAGCAGATCTGAAACTCCTGCATTGATCAAGCTGCTTTAGATCCAAGTCTCAAGCACTTTGTAAACTACAGACATCTGGAAGATTTAATGTCTGTTATGACTGGCCTTTCAGGATAAATTTGGAAGAGCACTTTCTAACAAAAGAGAAACATTTCCATCTTGCTTTGGTATCTGAAGAAACGTCAAATATTGGAACCTTTGCATTAGTTTGGATACAGTTTCCATAAAACAGATTACGTATTATCTTATACTTATGACATTCAGATTATCTACAAAAAGCCAAACCTTCACAATTCAACAACTATGGTATTCATAACGCAAGAAAGGTTACTTCACAGATTTCTTCCCCCATGGCTTCCCTGCCCTATCTGTACCATTCTCTCTCTTCTCTGCTAGACCACTTGCCCCTGATCTCTCCTCTGTCTCTAGTTTTGTATGGGTTATTTCTTGACAAGTGTGCTTGATTCCAAAGGGATTCCAGCAATAGATCTGAGCTGGAAGTTACACATGTTAAAAAGCATAACTATTTTAATTACATTCTTTCCATACTGATTCACCTGCCCAGCCCTAAAAGGTCTGACTCAAGCTGAAGTGCAGCTGCTCTGAAGAATAGGGAACTACAAGACTTAGAAGTAGCATGAAAAGTGTTTTTTCAAACATTTGGAGTGATAGCAAAACCAAAAGAACACTGACTTAATTTGTGTGCTCTGAGGATGGCTTTGCATACATATACACTTCTGTATCTATGAAGAACATGAATACAAATCTAAAGGCCCTGAACATACAAAATCTGATTTTGTTGCTCTTGGCTGAGAATGCTTGACAGCATGTAAGACACATGATAAACACAGGTATTCCTGTGTTTGAGGAAGGAAGAGCAAGAGAACAAAAACAATCAAGATAAGGAGTTATTTAAATATTGGAATTAAATGTGGAGAAACTTATGTAGATATTAAGATACTTCTGGTAAATGTTACAGGCACAGTTCGCAGCTTTGAATAAGAGCTTACGTGGAACAAGTTCTGTACACTCATCTCATTGCCTCAATAAATTTGTATTTTTAAAATAAAAGCCCAAGTGCCTCAGCACAGCAGTCAGTCATAAAAGTCCTACTTCATATATTTAGAAAGACTACATTCTAGGCTCCTGAGGGAATGCAATCTGAAGGATCAGGAGAAAAAGGTAGTTATAGTAATCGTGCAACTGATGAAGTAACAGCAGAGTCATTTTGCTTGTATAAATACCTCAGTAATCCAAGCAGAACTAACAACAAAGTTTGCACTTATGGGGCACTCACACTTACTGAGCACCTTTCAGGCTATAGTAATATATTAATATAATACTTCACCTCATCAGGGCATCCATCTGGCCTTGGCAGACGTCCATTATTCTTCAAAAGCTCTATCAAATGAAATACAATCATCTGCCCTTGTTTATCATTGCCAATCATGCGCATGAATTCCTGAAACAGAAGGTGTCAAAAGTAATTTTTAAGGAAAAAAAAAGATGCTGCAGCATTCTTACCAAGCAAAAATTCTTCGTAAGAAGAGTTAATAATAATAAATGGAATAGAATATAACGCTAACAAATTTTAAATTGTGAGTCTAGAGAATGTATTTTGTGTGTGTGTGGATAAAAACAGGATGAAACATACACAGTTTGAAGCACTAAGTAAAAAATTTTAAAAAATGTTGACGATCACCTGATGATTAACCAGTTTTAAAAGGATAAACCTCACAGCTATCCTGAAGAGCTTCCTCAAGTATTAAAACAAGATCTTGATGCTTGGAAAAATCAGTTAAACAGAAAACAGGTAATATCATACTGATATATTAAAATAGATTAACAAGACGTCAGAAACAATAGCATAATTAAAACATAGATAAAATCTTGCTATCCAAAAATCAACATAACCCAAAAAATAGATTACAATCTCAGATTGCCAGATGTCAGAAGTACTATTAAATGAAAATAATTTCTAAGCAGGACAAAGAGGAATTATTTTTCCTCCAATGCTAAATAATCATCTTTAATGATCCTTTGCATGAAAATGTGAAATCACTGTTGTTAGAATGTGCAAATGGCCAAATTTGGGGAAATGATGTATAATTATAAAGACTGAAACAGCTAAAAGAGCGCCTCAGCTAATCAGCAAGATTCATTTCTCCTGATACATACTAACAGGACAACCAACCTGATGAACTGGTTAATGCATATGTAAATTTGATTTATTCAAAGCATGATCCCACCTGAGCCCATGACTTACTCTACCACTTTTTTTCCATTTTACCACTTCGGGTGTCTGCAGTGTTCACATTATTATGCAGGAACAGTTGCCCCTACCTTGAGAATTCTTCCTTGATAGCTTAGTTTTTGTACTGACTTACTAAGAGGTCCACTGAGGTCAATGCAGAGATCTTTCAAATGTATTTTTGCCTGTCATCAGTGTTCAGCTTGCAAAACTACATTTGCCAGGACTGAGACACTGGCCACGGGTAAGGACAGCTCAAGCAGGTATACAAAGCTCAACTCCACTCTGTTGTGTCTGCTAGATATAAGATTGTGAATCTGGTTTCCAATTGGGAGAACTGTTATTTGGTGTACAAGCAGCATTTTTCAACTTCAATTACTTACTAATTTTGGGTTCAGGTAACAAAACAAAACAACTTTTAAGTTACCTTATTTAAATCAACTCAATGTTTATGTATTTGTTTGGCTTAGCCTTAGATTTGGAGTAGCATTAAGAATACATGTCATGTTGCAATGAAACAGTTGCATCTGGGATTACTCTCCAGGAAAAAAAGAACAATCTATAAAAAGAAATCTTAAAATCTTTTTCAAATAGTTAGGATTTACAGGATGGATAAAATCTGTACAGATTATCAGATAATTTTCACTATCTTTTCCCCTTTATGGCTTGATATGAATACTTTTTAGCATGTTGCTGCTTCTGGTTGGATGCTGCCTCATAAACATTAAGGTATCTCCAGAAAAGGATGAGTAAATATGAACCTATTTAGGTAGAGGAACTATCTATATATTTTTGAAAAACTAAATAAATAGACAAAAAACTTTTGAGAACTATTAACTAGATACTTACAGCTGGTGGACTTTTGCTCTTGTCAATATATGTGAAGAGTTCATATAGGACAACACCAAAACTCCACACGTCTGAGGCCACAGAAAATTTGCTTTCTGTCAGAGATTCTGGAGCATACCTGCAACACATGGGAATATTGATTGTTCTATGCAATGGTTTTGAAGGTATTTCTTTTAATAAGACTTTTAATAGGGTTTTTTTCATGAATAATTGTTCTTTGTTCACAGACATTAGCACATTCTCATTTTCTTCCATTACTTTCACAAGTAACTGTTCTTTTAATAATAGTTAATCAGTATTGAAAACATAAACCACCTTAAATATACACAGTTAGTGATAACTATATTCAAGTTTGGTTTTCTTCCAACAAAGTTGTAGATATTTTTCTTATCTGTAGTGTGACTAAACAAGATTTTGATGTCATAAGGCTTGGAAAGAAAGTCTATTACAGCCAGTAAGCACCTGTCCATCATTTTCAGAGGCTACACAAAGTGTTCTCCTTTTCCAAGCAAAGCAGAGCTCATTGGAGCATTACTGTATTTTGGAGCATTAGACCTCCTCTGGAAGCTCAATGCCCAAATACAGACATCTACCTGAATATTCAACCCAGCACTTTATCCTTGCTCATTACAGTCTCTGGGATTGTCCTGGGTTCAGCTGTAACAGTTATTTTTCTCCTTCTGAGTAGCTGGTGCAGTGCTGTGGTTTGGATTTAGTCTGAGAACAATGCTGATAACACACCAATGTTTTAGTTGTGCTCTGTAACTCCTCAGTAGCACTTACCCTGATCAAGGACTTTCTCAGTCTCATGCTCTGCCAGGGAGGAGGGGAAGCTGGGATGAAGCAGAGACAGGACACCTGACCCCAACTGGCCAAAGGGGTATTCCATACCACAGCACGTCATGCCCAGTAGATAAACTGGGGGGAGTTACTCGGAAGGCCCAGATCACTGCTCAGGTTGGGCTGGGTATCGGTTGGCGGGTGGTGAGCGATTGTGTTGTGCATCACTTGTGTTTTCTGAGTTTTCATTTCTTCTCTTGTTGTTTCCCATTATCATTATTATTGGTATTCTTTCTATTATCACTATATTTTACTTTAAGTTATTGGACTCTTCTTATCTCAACCCGTGGGGTTTATATTCTTCTGCTGTTCCTCTCCATTCTGCCTTGGGGAGGGTGGGGAGGGGAAGTGTGAGCAAGTGGTTACATCTTGCGGAGTTACCAGCTGAGTCTAAACCACAACAGGGATTTAACACCACTTGGTCAACAGAGAGCCTATCCAACAGATCTCAGCTAGAGGATATGAACGGCTGTGTTTAGGGAACCAAAAGATCCAAAATTTTAAAGCATCCTTGGAAACAGACCCTTTTAGATTTCTTTTATCTAATACCTTTCATGTTGCACCTATTTCTTTTAAATAGTTCGGTAATTTTTTGGTTAGCTTGTTTTTTTTAAATATGTTGAAAAGTCCCATGCGTATGACTTTCACAACGCGAGGCAACTGACCTGAGTTTGTACTTAAAAATTCCACAATGTGCGAAACAATTGGCTGAAACTGCAAAAACCGAAAATATGTCACAATTTCATGTATCAAAAGAAGACTTACCAAAATATAGGGCTTTCACCAGGTTCCTTTACTTTGTAGTATTCTTTGTCTTGTGGCAAGACTTTTGTCAATCCAAAATCTCCAATTTTAACTCTGTTCTCATTCTCCACTAAGATATTCCTTGTTGCTAAATCCCGGTGAACATATCTTTTTGTGCCCAGATACTCCATGCCCTAGACAGAAAGTTCACAAACACAATAGGAAAAGAGTTACTTTTACCATTAAGTAGTTGCACTTTCCTTAAAGGGGCAAATTAAACTCAAAGTTAAAAACAAACACGATTGTTACCAAAATCGGCATGCTTGAACATTTGTCTTCTCTGAGGAGTTACTTTTTCCAAGTTCAGAGATTTTCCTTACCTGAAGGAAAATAGACTAAACACCTGTCAGAGCCAAGTGTATTTTGATTACGTAGCTGGACAGCTGTTACAGATCCCTTCTGTGGCCTAATGCAGTTTGCTGGTGACAGAAGGAAAACCAAAATTTGGGCTAAACTACACAATCCAGGGCTGTCAGTTTCAGAAGAAAATACCTCACTGTGGCAACACAACGGAAAAGCAATAAATTATGCTAAACGCATTGTTGAACTAAAATTTATGAACATTAGCGTTATAATATTAATGCTAAAAGATTTATTTCTCTCTCTCTTTTCTTTAAAATGAGAAGCCTCAGAAATCGTTAACTCCGACGCCCGACCTTCCCCTCAGGCTCTCGCTACCTCCTTGCTCCGCTAGGTGGCATCCCTGACTACTCACGTACCATTCCAAACCCGTTCAAAAATGACGCTGTATTTTTTCATTGCCTGCTTTTCCACTGCTGTTCTGAACAACAACACACCTAGCTTTTTCAAAATGAGACTCCTGGGTTTCTGATACAAACAGGCTATGTAAATGCTGTAACTTTTTATTACTACTACATGCTGTACTGAAAACAGTCCTAAAGTTCCTCTAATGACTAATCTGTTAGCCTGAAAAATACCTGTTCTAAGAGAGATACTTAATTGAAACCATGCAAATGTCTAACTGGAGATCATAATCCCGTGGCACTACTCTAACAGTGGAACTGAGTTTAACTATGTGATTTCAAATGTTTCTATCACTAAAGTTGGACTCTGCAGCAAGGATACATGAAGCAACTTAAGCATGAACAGACAGAAAAATGGCTTTTTTTTCTTCTTGATTATGGAATTTTTTCTTAATTCCTATCTTCTCCTATCAGCCAGCATTAACAAAATGCAGGACCAAAAGATAAAAAAAGAATATCCCAAAAATTAGATGCATGGAGAAGTTAACTGCCTATTAAAGGTGTAATGGGTTGGCCAGTGAAGCGCCTCTTGACTGTAACAGGAACTCTTGCATGGCTAAGGAGAGAGGCACTGATCGTACCAAGGACTCCTGTTCCCTGGCTAAGGTGAGAAGCGAGAGTGGGGATAATGAGTCATCCCCCTGACAGCCTTGGAACACTCCTTCCCTTGAACACAGCCTAAGTGGAACAGTAGCATTGTTACTAAAGTTTTGATAGGCAGTTAACTGCCAGATGCACAGAGAAGTAACTTGCCATTCTATTGTCACGATTGTCTGAAGTTAAGTACAGAGTCCTATTGCTTGCCACCAGACAAGCTGTACTAGTGGCACAAGCTGCACCAGGTCACAGCTGCACTGATTTATACCTACAGAAACATCACCACTAGCAAATGCTATTTTTCAAAATGCTGCTTTTCACAGTACAAGAGACGTGCAAAAAAATTTACACCTTTAAACCAGGAACCCTTTCCTAGTATAGTAGCAAGGAACCAAAACACAGCAAGCAAGCAAACACATCTTAACCCTCAGGTATTTTCTCTCACATATTTGAGAGAAAAGCAGCAAGGCAGGAGAAAGATTTTTGATTTAGTAACCCAAAATAAGAGAGCGACAGAAATGCACAGCAGAGAGAAGAAATATGAGATGCTGAAAGAGCAAACATTGCAAGAGAAGCAAAAACAGCTAAAGGAAACGGGGAAAATAGGATCAGCTAAAAGAAGAAGGAAAAACATTCATATCCCATTTTCATAGTATTAGGTACTCATGTTTCTAATTAAATTGTTTTGAATATGCAGAATGCTGCACATTGCTTTGCAGGTTGTACGGCAACAACAATGCAAAGCAAGACATGAACACTGTAATTCTTAGACTGCTTCCATTAGAAATGAAGATACTTTTGTAAGATCAAGTCCATTATGGACTTCCCACATTCTCATACTATGTGTACCCATGTTTTGTCACATGAAAGTGGGGTCTTCCCACTTATGTTATCTGCAGACAGTGTATTCTATCTCTCTCTTGGCTGGTGCTTGGTACTTAGGATATGGTCATTTCAACTGCTACTTCGATTTTGCGTTATCATCCTTAAGTCTTGTAATATTTGGATGCTTTTTCTACATGTGTGTAGGTACACACATACATTAAGAACCTTTTCTTTCTACCTTCTGTATTCAGGTCCTTTCTCGAAGTTTCCTGTCATACTTGCACTGCCTGCAAAGGCCAAAATCCACCTTCCAGCCCTCTCTTCGGATACCTCTCTCTCATAGACCAGGGTCCAGAGATACATTGCCACTGTTGTTCCTTCAGTCTTTTGACTGGGCCTGAAGACTTACATATGCAAGCTTCACAGATCCTACGAGAGTGAAAAGGGCAAGCTCCTTATGACCCTTCAGGTCACAGGCTAAGATGACCACAGAATGAAACAGGTAAGTGGCTGACTGTGTGTGTTCAAAAACACCTCTTGCATCTTTATTCTATGATAGATTGATTCACTCTCACTATCATCCTAGCTGGTGCTGTTTGCTTGAAGGAAAATTGTTTTCAGTGACTTACCAGCACTGATAGTAACAGTTATTTTGTTGCAGAAGTAGAATTTCTTATGCCTGTTACTGGAGAAGGACTTCCAGACACACCGAGGAGGACTTTTTAATCCTCTGAGTGGGTGGTCACATACGCAATCCTTCCTCTCTGTTTAAAGACTCACACTTGCCACAGACCTGTGAATATTTTCTGTTTCCCAACCTCATGCACTGGTGCATCTCCCCACCCATCCTCTGGCTGCTCTACAACCCTGGGAATTCACATCACACCTTGGCTTTTGTGTAATGAGTTGGACAGTGAAGCGCCTCTTAACCGTAACAGGAACTCTTGCATGGCTAAGAAGGGAAGCACTGACTGTACCTGGGACACCTGTTCCCTGGCTAAGGTGAGAAGTGAGACTGGGGCTAATTAGTCATCCCCCTGACAGCCTTGGAACACTCCTTACTTTGGTCATAGCCTGAGTGGAACGGTAGCATTGTTACTGAAGTTACTGATCCAGGTTGTGTCCAGGTCAGAAATTTACTAATGCCTCAAACAAATTATCCTGCAACCCTATGAACAGCGGGCCTAAGTGAGCCCCCTGAACTCTCCTGGACTGCAGCAGGTGGCAACCAGCATCTCCCTCTGCATAGGACGCCTCTCAGAGCTCGTGAACTCTCCACCTTTACAATAATCAGAGGACTGTCATCAAAAGCTGACAATAGGACTTGAGCTGAAGTCCCTCCACTCCTCAAGGCTCAGCCCTCACCTGTTGAGGAATGTCAAGACATTTGATACGAATATCTAACAGAATTCTAGGGGCATTTTTAACCAGTATCTTTACATGTCTTTGTGACTGTAAGTGCATGCATGTGTGTATAAACTGACACAGTAAGTGTAGTAAATTCTATTTACTCACTATGTGAATGTTAAGATCCACCTTGAAACCACAGATTGCTGCTAGGTAAAAGCCATCTGTGGTGAATTACTACACTTGTAACCTTGCCTGTGACTAAGACTAGGCCCAGCTGCACCCAGGCTTCATCAGTTTAGAAAGCAAGCAGGTCTACTCTGAGCCTCATGATGCCACAGGAGAATTTCCTTATTCCCCGTATTTGTTCCATCAGACACAGACCATTGCCCAAGTCTGAGACTAAGATTGGACTCAGTTGCACCTAAGCTCCATCAGGATCTTAGAAAGCAAGAGGGTCTCTTCTGAATCTTGTGACTTAATGGGAGTGTCTCCCTTACCTTTTGTACCTTCAGTCTCTCTATCGATCATTTTTAGCTTGATTTTCCTTTGATTTTCCTTTCTATGTGTCTTCCATGTAAAATGTAGTAACCCTGCCACTGAACTTTGTTTTGGTTTTATAATTCATATAGAGCTGCTCTTGCCAATACTCTTGATGGTCATTCTTTGAGCAACCCTCTATCACTCCTTCCACAACATTGCACACTACTTGCCCATCAAGAAGTTTTTGCTGAAGACTACCCATCCAGCCTTGCTTCAGTGAAACACATGAATAGGTGAGATCAGCTGCTGAAGGTGCCTGCAGCATCCTTCTGTACATGCCCCAGGTTCAGTAGCTAAAACATTTACTGAATCAGTCCCGCTTCAAGCAGGAAATCATCAATCTCTGTTCACTTCAAAGGAAGTCTGAATGCCTGGAGAAGATCTCAGCTCTGGCAGAGATGCTCCTGACTGATTCTTGTCAGGCCTTTTCTGCAGACCTGCAGAAGGAAAGCTTCTGCTCCAAACGTGGCATAGCAGAATTACCAGACATTAGAATATCTATGAGCTGCACACACTGAGGGATACTCATTAATTTTAAGTCAGTTACTGTTTCCATGTGTTTGATGTGCAGGTTGGGGAAAGGAATTTTAAAATATTTCTGGTACATGCCTTGAGGGTGTCTTTCCCCTGCTGCCTTTTCTCTCTTCTCCCTGTTTCCCTACTTTCTGTTTTTCTTTCCCCAAACAACTGAACATGGAATGAAATCTAAAGTGTCTGTAGTTTCTTGTATCTAAAGAAAAATAACAGAATAAAACTAGGATTGTCATTAAATCCTCTATCTGAGGAAATAAGATATCACAATAAAGATCAGGTGTTTGCCCCCCTTTTCACAATTTTAAGGATCTTCAGTACCAACCAGTGAGACTAGCAAATAATTTATTACAGCTTTGAGCACTTCTATGGCCTCTCTTTCTTCAAACAGAAATCATGTATCTTTGCTCTTTCTGCTAAATGAGCAAATATTATCTACAGTTTAAAGAAAATTTCTTAAACATATGCTGTTATGGTGGTTTTCTTAAACATACGCTGTTATAGTGGTTTTCTTAAACATATGCTGTTATAGTGGTTTTAATGTCCAAGTTCTGAAAAATCGGTTATACTATGTCATGGAGAGTTTGTCTGGCTGAGTATATTAACTCCTGCAAAATTTTATTTCAGCTCTCATTAGGGAGAAACGGGGCTTTAATTCTTCTGGGCAAAATATAAGCTAAGCAGACAATGAAATAAACAGAAATAGATGGAGTATATTTTTCCTCAGTCAGCAGATAGGTCAGTCTCTTCATCCTGTACTAAGATACTCAGAAGTTTCTCCAGTTTTTGAGTACAGGAATATAAACTGCTATTTTTTTTAGGGTTATGTGGTCCTAGCAGCCCAACAGTGATATAAAAGATACACCAAGGTTGTTTTGAGACAAATGAGTCAAGGCCAAAAAGACAAAAAATTGTTGAAAAGTATCAGTCACCTGAAATTTCCTACCTTGCATATCTGAGATGCATACAGCAAAAGCTTCTTGTGGTCCAGCCTCTCCTTGTGTTTCTGCAGATAATCTCGTAAACTTCCATATGGTAAATATTCCATAATTAATCTTAGATTCCTACGACCTTTTGTAACAACAAAAAATACACTTTATTTTTCTGTCATTTTCCAATGACAAGTTTTGAAATACATTTACAAATGTCTATGAATAAAATACAAAACAGTCTTAATACCAAAAAATAATTTATTATACGTACATCACTATGCAATCTTTCATGTATTAGTTAACTGCATTTGTTCAGGAAATGCCAGTTACTTAAACACCACAATAATGGGGATATGCTTGATATACACAACATCACTAATCAAGATCATTTAATCAATACTTCAGCTACTACTGCTAAGGCAAAGCAGAAGTGCTACATGTGTGTATCTGTGTCTATGTAATTCCTCCTCATTGCTGAGATGAAACTCAGAATGGCAACTGACATCAACTGGACAGCAATTATACCATCTTTAAAAACTTAGTCTGATTCTTAACCCAGTATTTTTCTTTTTACAGTAAGAGCCAGGACAGAACCCACGCTTTCATTCATCAGCTTCAACAGCATCAACAATTCACTCAAACACATCTGCGCCTAGAACCTTTTCTTGTCTCATCTTTTACTACGTAGGCAGTACAAGAATAGGTAATATCCACTCCAGGACACACTGGAGTAAAAACCAACAATACTTACAAAATGGTTGCCACTTAACCTTAAATTATTTTCTAGGACAACTCACTGGGTAATTAGTCAAAATGGTACTTCCTCTAAATCAATCAAATAATGCAGTGAGCTGACTGAATAAAATGTCCATCTTGTACTGAGTAGTAGTACACGACAGTCACTACTTTGATTTGCGCTCTCTAAGTCTTGCTAAAGTTTTGACAAGTTAGTGACTTCCATAAACACCTGCCTCTCTGAGCTGCTCAGTATGCATACTTAGCTGTAGACCTGAAGGCATATTTAATATAGCACATACCTGCACTGTAGCATACTCCTTTGTATTTAACAATGTTATCGTGCTGCAGAGATTTAAGAATTTCAATTTCTCTTTCAAAGTCCCGAAGGTGCTCTTCTGTGCTATGTTGCAGCTTTTTCACAGCCACCACCTCCCCCGTATTATCCTGCAGTGGGTCGTAGCGGCACATCTCAACACTGCCGAAATTTCCCTAGATCACAAATGGAAGTACTTGAATTAAAAACAAGTCCACATCATTGTCTCTTTCTTACTGCTTGTGCTTGCTGCCTCAGTGCTCACTGTACGAGCATCCAGGTGACCACAATTAGTTAAGTGAAATGCCATAAAACCTCCCTGAGATAAAGGAATACAAATCACAGGTTAAGAATACAAATCTCCTGTTAAGAAAAATTCTATGAAAGAAAGTGACCAGCACAGAAGGAAACAAGGGGGTTGAGGTCCATTTATTTTTCCTCCTTCTTCATAGATTTCCATTTGCAATTCCAAAATGTTAGCTGGCATACTCCTGCTGCTGCACCTGCAAAAACCCCTTCATTTAGGTTCCTCTCAACTCTTAACTCTACCCAGTTCTTGGTGGGTTTTCCCCCATTTGTTTCAATGTTCTACCTTCTTCCCTTTCTTTGTTTATATGTCAGTAAGGGGGTGATTGCTGACAGCCAACACGGCTTCACTAAAGGCAAACTGTGCTTGACAAATTTGGTGGCCTTCTACGATGACGCCATGGTGTTAGTGGATAAGGGAAGAATAACTGACATCATCTACCTGGACTCGTGCATTTGATACTGTCCCTCACAACATCTTCTCTCTCTAAATTTGAGAGGCACGGATTTGACAAATGGACTTGGTGGATAAGGTGGATAACGAATTGGCTTGATGGTTGCACTTAAAGAGCGCAAGTGGAGACTTGTGACATGGAGACTTGTGAGGTGTCCCTCAGGAGTCAGTGTTTGGACCGATCCTGTTCAACATCTTTGTCAGTGACACAGACAGTGGGACTGATGCACCCTCAGCAAGTTTGCAGATGACAGCAGGCTGTGTGGTGTGGTCGATACACTGGAGGGAACGGACCTGGACAGGCTGGAGAGATGGGCCAGTGCAAACCTCAGAAAGTTCAAAAAGGCCAAGTGCAAGGTCCTGCATGTGGGTTGGGGCAATCCCAAGCACAACTATAGGCTGGGCACAGACTGAATTGAGAGCAAATCCTGAGGAGAAGGACTTGGGGGTGTTGGTTGATGAGAAGCTCAACATGAGCTTGCAGTGTGCACCTGCAGCCCAGAAAGCCCACCTTATGCTGGGCTGCATCAAAAGGAGTGTGGTCAGCAGAAGAAGGACGTGGACCTACTCGAGTGAGTCCAGAGGAGGCCATGAAGATGGTCAGGGGACTGGAGCACCTCTGCTGTGAAGACAGGCTGAGAGAGTTGGGCTTGTTCAGCCTCACGAAGAGAAGGCTCTAGGGAGACCTAAGGGGGCCTACAAGAAAGCTGGAGAGGGACTTCTTCAAGAGCTTGTAGTGACAGAACAAGGGAGAATGGCTTTAAACTGAAAAAAGAAAGATTTAGATTAGGCATTAGGAAGAAGTTCTTCACTATAAGGATGGTGTGACACTGGAACAGGTTGCCCGGAGTTGTGGTTGCTCCACCCCTAGAAGTGTTCAAGGCCAGGCTAGATGAGGTTTTGAGCAACCTGGTCTAGGGGAAGGTGTCTCTGCCCATGGCAGTAGGGTTGGAACTAGAGGATCATAAGGTCTCTTCCAACCCTAACCATTCTATGATGATTCTGTGGTTTTATCCATCTTCCTTTGTGCAGTCATCACCTAGCACTCTGTTCCTCTCCCTATGCTACACTACCATTTACAGTCAAAACCAAACCATCTACAAACACAACTAATTCTGCCATTTCACTTTCATGCTTGCTTTCACTAGTAGTTGGAGTCAAAGGAATATATAGCTATCATGCCAATAAAAACCATAAACCAGCAAGAAACCACTCTGGGAAAATGGTACTTGGTGAAGTTCTACCATCTGCACCTGAGCATCTCTCTAGGCATCACAAAGGCAGGCTGCAATGACTGCAAAAGTAGTAACCAAATGCAGATTCCTAACACCTAGAACATTCAAGGCCTACAAATACTTCAAAGACATTACTGAATTTAGGGACTGTACATTCAGACTTCCTAGTATACACATGCATAAAAAACCCTGAACTCCACCAGTTCTATGCAAGACTGCTCTGGAGCCTTTTAAAATGAATACCAAGTATTTAAAGAAGAAATAAAAATCTGTCACATGAAGCTCTGCATTACTGAAAAAGAATTTAACCTTTCAGTGTGACTGGATTCATTGTAGACACCACCTATCTTTATTCTAGCTAATGATATTGTGAAAATGAAAAAGATCTAAAAGGAATCACAGAATCAGCTAGGTTGTAAGACTTTTAAGACCTCTAATATCACCAAGATCAACCATTACTCCAGGACTGTCAAGCCCATCACTAAACCGTATCACCACATATACATGGTTTTTGAACACTTGCAGGGATGATGATTCCATCACTTTTCTGGGCAGCCTGTTCCAATGCCTGATCACCCTCTCTGTGAAGAAATTTTTCCTGATACCCAATCTAAACCTCCCCTGGTGCAGCTTGAGGCCACTACCTCTTGTCCTATCACTTGTTACTTGAGAGAAGAGACCAAACCCCACCTCATTACAACCTCCTTTCAGGAACTGCACATTGTAGTCAGATGTGACTGAAATTATTGATTTCTGTAGCAAAAGTTTCAATGTAAATAATACATGTGGGGTCATCGTAAAAATACAATTCTTTCCTAGGCAATTAGAGAATTTCAAACATCCTACCTTGCCAAGTTGCTGTAAAAACTTAAGATGTCTCTCTTCAAATTGTGTTGGGTCACGATCTTCAAAAGCACCAGAAAATCCAAGTGCTCCAATTCTCATATTTGGCAACATATCACTTTCTGTTAAAAGCTCATAATCTGAGTGATAGAAGGAAGAAGGGAAGAAAGAAAGGGAACAGGAGGGACAGAGAAATGAGTAAGAGAATGAAGAAACATTATAATCTTGGCATGTTCTACCTTTGCTTGGCATACTCGAAGCTCAGTAGAGTATTAACAAGAAATTCATTTCTACATAGTAATTTGCAGTCAAGATGAATTACAAAAAAGCTGAATGACTTGTCTTAACTCATAGCAAGTCTTGCTTTAATTTCCCAATTTTCTTTTTTGCAGGCCTATTGTATTTCAAATTTAGCAACTATTACACAACAATTCCACTGCTGTGGAGGGCAGAAATAAGGTTGTAATAACATGCATCTTTCACTTGGAAAAGAAAAAAAGAAACCTATTTATTTTATGAAGAGAAAAAAGACAGTCACAAACATAACATACTTGGTTCAGATACTGGAATGGTTGAGACAGGCAATAATCAAACCAGAAAACTCCTTTGAATGATAATGCTAACTTTTAATGTGTTCACCTTTAGAAAAAATAAAACAGTTCATAGTGTTTAAACAGTGTTTAAAACAGTCACATAATGTCCTTACAAACTTAGGTTTCTGGGGTTGCTCTGGAGAGTGGTTGTGGGTCAACATACCAAAAAGGAAGGTGCCACACAAAAATGAACCAATAGGAATCAGGGTTCTTTTTGGCTAGCATGCTCTTGTTGTAGCACAGACTCACCTGGAGTGAACAAACTATTCAAGTCACGTATAACTGCTCTAAATGAAGGCCTGAAATCTGGCTCATAATCCATACAGTTGTTTATAAGGTTTGCTAGTTCTGTCCAGTTGGGGGCAGGAAGCTGGTGCCTGTCTTCATAAAACTGTAGTTTCTGGAATTAAAACAGATAAAAACCAAAAGATACAGCTCTCAACCCAGACTTGTCATCTCATCAAATATATATCTGACCAATTTACATGAAAAGCCAAGGACGACAATGTAGCAAGGCTGGCATAATTTAGAGTAATTACTTCAGAAATTTCAAGTCAGTTACTGGTGGAAGATAAGAAAATAGAGAATGATATTGAGAAATATGGTGTCTCCTTTACTGGTGATTTCATGAAACCTCAATGGGATGGATCCATCAGAAAATTCTATCCACCTGTGAGCTGGCTGAGCTCCTCCAGTTGTAAAAAACTTTCTGAGTATTCTTAAAGAATGTGTACTAGGAGAGGACAGCAACTTCTGAAATACCTAGATAGGCACAGTGGGACTGAGTGTGGCCTCAGCAAGTTTGCCGATGACACCAAGC